TCCGTCCCCCGCCGCCGCCGCCGTCGGGGCTGACCAGCGAGTAGGTGACTCGGCCGTTGCGGCCCAGGTCGGGGTCCGAGGCTCGCACGCGGAGAAGCGAGGCCCCCGCCGGGTTGTTCTCCGCCACGTAGGCGCTGTACGACGCTTCGTCGAAGAGCGGCGCGTTGTCGTTGACGTCCGAGACCTGGAGCCGGACGGTCTGGGTGGTGGCGAGCGGCGGAGCGCCCTTGTCCGTGGCCGTGACCGTGACGTTGTAGTCGGGGCTGCGCTCTCTGTCCAGGGCGCCGGCGGTCACCAGCTTGTAGTAGTTCTTGGAGGACGACACCAGCTTGAAGGGCAGGTTGTCCGGAATGCGGCAGGTGTATTCTCCGTTAGCCGTGGCGTCTGGATCACGAACTTTAATCAACGCGATCACAGTCCCCGGCTTTGAGTGGTCGGGAATGGGGCTGGACACCAAGAGAAATATCAGTTCAGGGGTGTTGTTCTCATCAAGAATTTCTATCTGAACTATGCAGTGCGCCGTTTGACCACCGCCGTCCTTAGCTTCTATGAGCATGGTGTATTTTTTTGTTTCCTCAAAATCGAGAGTTCCTGTACTTGTTATTTCTCCATTCTCAGGATCTAAACGAGATGATATGCGAGCATTGTCCGGAAGGCTGGTGAGCGTGTATGTGATCTTTGCATTCAATGCTTCGTCTGCATCAGTGGCTTTCACCTGCACTACTAAGGATCCTATTGGAAGATTTTCCCTTAGGATGATCTGGTAGATATCTTCACTAAATACCGGGGTATTGTCATTGGCGTCAGCAACATTAATCCGAATGTGAGTGATTCCAGTTTTGATTGGATCTCCCCGGTCCAGTGCCATCAAGATCAAGTGATGGGAATTTTGTTTTTCCCTGTCAAATTTTTTTCCAAAATTATGCGTATTTGCTTTCATCAGGGGTATCTTTCATTGCCAAGGTAAAATACGGATTTTTGGTAATGTGGTAATTCTGAAGCGAGTTAACCCCAATATCTAGATCTTGTGCAGCGTCTAATGGAAATCGTGCACCGGGCACTGCAGATTCGGTAATTTCTAGATCAGTACTGTTTGTCTTGAAGCGTGGGGCGTTATAGTTAATGTCCTCGATTTCAACATTCACGTGGAAAACGTTCAAAGGATTTTCCACCACAGCTTCGAAACTGAGAGTGCACAGTGGTGCCTTCCGCATATTTCCTCCCGGTCTATCCGGTCACTCACATACAGGTTCCCATTTTCTCCCTTCACCGTGAAGTATTGCTTCTCCGAGCTCACACGGAGCCTGCGATCCGGCAGTTCTCCCACACACAGTCCAAAATCCTTGGCGAGATTGTCCACGAAGGACCCTTTGGCCATTTCTTCGGGGTCGAATAGCGAATCTGCGCCGAGGCAGCCCCTCAGAACGGAGAAAGGAAGAAGGGGCAGAACAGTACTTGCCTTCTGGCTGTTCTTGCCGGCCCCCGGTGTTTACTTTGTGCCGCTTTCATTCTTACACAGTCTGTTTTTGTTTCTTTCTTAGAAATCCCTGTATACATAAAATATCCTTGATAATGAGAAAATAAAACCACTTTCACACTCCCACTGCACACTTGAAACCCAAGAAAGGGTTTTTCGGAACAGGGAACTTGGCCAGCGCTTCTCCGGGTTTTCTTTTTAATCCGCAGATACTGTCTGAGCAATCGCGCTGCAGGAGGCGAAAATGGATCAGGACCCGCAGCGCCTCTCCTCACTGGCCAACAGCAGCACTCGCAGTCTCAGAGAGAGAGAACTGCCGGCGTAGTGAAATAATAAAGGAACATACAAAACTCTAGAAACTAAACTAGGTTCCTTAATATATATATATATATATATATATTGCATTACAAGTTTATAAAGCCGTGTTTGTCTGCATGTTCTCGTCTTAACCGGATTCATAAGGGATCACTTAGACACTAGGTAAGCTTCTCTGCCATCTACTCCCTCTACCTAGTAATCCAAGTCTGTTCCTTTTAAAAATTACGAAGAAAGCAACAAATATTTTATCAGTCCTGAACTATCCTCTAAAGAAAGACATCACTGGGAGACACTGACAACATATGGGGGACCTCTTCCGGTGTTCAGTCCTGTCGAAACTTGCTCGAACAGAATACCTCAGCACTCAGCAACAAGAGGCAGATCAGGGAAAAGTCTGGGTCACTTACTGAATCGGGGAGGCAACCTAGTGACAGAGGATGCGGAAAAGGCTAAAGTACTTAATGCGCGTTTTACCTCAGTATTCACAAGCAACATTGGCTACCAGACTACTGCACTTGGCATCGCAGTTTGAGGAGGAGGTGGGCAGCTGACAGTGGCAAAAGAACAGGTTATTAGAGGCTATTTAGAAAAGCTGGACTTGTACAAGTCTATGGGGCCAGATGTCATGCACCCGACGGTCCTGAGGCATATGGCTAATGTGATTGCGGAGCCACTGTCCAATATTTTTTAAATCTCTTGGCTATGGGGAGAGGTCCTGGACAAATGGAAAAGGGCAAATATAGTGTCCATCTTTAAGGAAGGGAAGAAGGAGGATCCAGGGAACTACTGGTCAGCTTCACCTCAGTGCCTGGAAAAATCATGAGTATGTCCTTAAGGAATCTATTTCTAAGCACTTGGCAGTGATGAAGGTGATTAGGAACAGTCAGCATGGATTCACCAAGAGCAAGTCATGCCTGACCAACCTGATTGACTTCTATGACTAGATGACTGACTATGTGGATAGTTTTGATATAGTCTACCACAACATTCTTGCAAGCAAGCTAAGGAGGTATGCATTGGATAAATGGATTGTAAGGTGAACAGAAAGTTGTTTGACTGGTCAGGCTCAAAGGGTAGTAATCAATGTCTCAATGTACAATGGTCAGCCAGTATCAAGTGGAGTGCACCAGAGGCTGGTCCTGGGGCTGGTTTTGTTTAACACTTTCCTCAGTGATCTGGAAGATGGGATGGAGTGCACCCTCAGCAAGTTTGCAGATGACACCAAGCTGGCGGGGGAATAGTATATATGCTGGAGGGTAGGTCTAGGATTCAGAGACTAAACAAATTGGAGGATTGGATCACAAGAAATCTCATGAGTTTCAATAAGAACAAGTACAAAATCCTGCACTTGGGATGTAAGAATCCCATGCAGTGATACTGCCAGGGGACAGGCTGGCTAAGCAGTAGCTCTGCAGGCAAGGACCTAGGGGTTACAGTGGACAATAAGCTGAAAAGGAGCCAACAGTGGGCCTCTATTGTGAAGAAGGCTAATGGGATACTAGGCTGCATTTGTAGGAGCATTGCCAGCAGATTGAGGAAAGTGATTATTCCCCACTATTTGTCATTGGTGAGGCCACATCTGGAGTACTGTGTCTAATTTTGGGGCCCCCAATACAGAAAGGATGCTGACAAATTGGAGAGAATCCAGCAGAGGGCAAAAAAATGGTTAGAGGGCTGGAGCACATGCCTTAGGAGGATAGGCTGAGGGAACTGGGCTTACTGAGTTTGGAGAAAAGAAGACTGAGGCAGCATTTAATAGCATCCTTCAAGTACCTGAAGGGGAGGTTACAAAGAAGGAGGAGGTAGACTGTTTTAAATGATGGCAGGGGAGAAGAAAGATTAAGGGGCTCAAGCTGCAGCAAGGGAATTTTAAGTTAGATATTAGCAACAACTTTCTCACTATGAGGGTAGGGGAAGCACTGGAACAGGTTACACCCAGAGAGGTGGTGGAATCTCCATCCTTGGAGGTTTTTAAAGCCTGGCTAGACAAAGTCTTGGCTGGAAAGATATAGTGGGAGATGGTCCTGGTTTAAGAAGGGGGCTTCCTGAGGTCCCTTCCAATCCTTATTTTCTATGATTCTATGATTCTAGATGTTTTATGTTAATAAGAGATACCTTCAAGAAAAACTCAGTCTTTGCTGAAGAAGAGCGTGACAGGTGCTCAGGAAAGCAATAGATGTTGGAAATACACAGATGGTGAAGAAAATATAGTTAATTAACTGATACAATCATTTGTACACAGGGCATCAGTGGTTGCAAAATAAATTTAATATGCCTACTTGATAAATTTAAAAGTGAACTGAATATATGCTCTAATATTTGACCAAAGCATAATTCCGTGTAAAACTATCCAATGATTTTTAGTAAAGGATATTAACATCAACAATAACATAAATTGGGATACAATAGTAAATAACTCTGGTTGAAAACAAGAGTATAAAAGACACTGAGAAAATGTCACTGCAGCATTACTAAACCTACAAAACAAGTTTCTTGTTCTTTTTACCAGAATCGTGTATTAAGATTTAAGATTCACACCTGAACTCAACATTTTCTTCTTCTGTTTCATCTTTATGGAACTTTCAGGAAAAGTAGATGAAGTAAGCAGGAAGGGACTTTTGGAGAATAAAATCCCATTTTATCTTGGATCAAGCAGTTTCCAAGGAGAAAAAGTTATCTTCACTGTGACTCAAACTGTAGTGAAAAGTACTGCACAACCCAATATGGTGCAGCTGTATGGATCTTACAAGAGTTTTTTCTGCTGCCTAAGATTAAGGGAATATTTCCATGATGAAGAGAAACCTGCTTCAGACTGGATCCATACACAGCACAACAAGGACAGTTCCTGGACTCCACCTGAGAGCTGCAGCCCCAATCTGGATGTGTGTTTAGACTCTTTCTGCCTCCCTGCCCACTCCAAGATTGACAAAAAGCAAGTGTGTGTAGTGAATCAGAGCAGCCGCCGGCAGCCGCCCGACTCACACCGCTTACGTCGCCTAGATAGTGATGGACGACGCAGGCGAGCCTTTGTTCCATTACAGCTTCGGTTATAGAGTTGAGTATACGCATATAACTTCGGTTACAGAGTCGAGTACACGCACGCAGTTAGGTTACAACGAGATAATGACGGACGTGGCGCCGGAACGAACGGTCGAGTTTGCAAGACTTTCTACGTCAATATTTTACGCTGACGGGGTGATTGATTGGGAATTGATCAATTTCCCAATTCTCTGGTGACAAGCACAGGTGTTTCCTGTGGGATCCTCAGAGCTCTCCGACTTGGGTGGAAACCGTTAAACTATTTATAGGCAGAGGTGTTTGACAGGGATACCCAATGGTGAACCGTTATATGGAATCTTTAATTTTTGGCAGGTGGCAGCTCTTTGTCTCCTCAAGTTACAAGGTAGTGGGTTAGGTTTCTCTACCTGTTACGTGTGTGCTACGTGTGAGGAGCTTACGCTTATTTTTGGACCAATTATATATAGTTTCCCCTAGCATTTTATTTCAGCTGACCAATTATCTACAGTACTCCGGCCGCGTTTTGTTTCAAGGAATTTTTGGCAGGGATGTCTTTTAACCCTTAATCGTCAAAATGAGGATGATTTGAATGGTATCTCTTGCTCAGTGGCATGGGCACAATTTAATTGGGTTGTGACAGTGTGGTCTTTCAGAATAAAGAGACCATGCTTGGCCTTAAAAACAGCCCAGACATTATCATACAATAGGCTGATATGGGGGCTGCCATTGTTGTCATGGGCAATGCAGCATACATACAGGAAGCCAAGAGACGAATTTACAACACAGAGTTATACCAAGTCCAGACAAAGAACCACAGGACACAATATCAGAAGGAAGTAAATAACCAAGCTTCCAAGGACCCTAGCTTTGGAAACACAGGAGAGGATTACTGCTTCCTCCTCCTGGGACCCTACGCCAGGCAACTTTTACTTATTACCCAACAAACCTGGCAACCTAGGAAGCTGCATTGTCCCTGGCATTGGCATCATCATGGATGGAGTTTCTGGCTACATTGGCTCTACCCTATTTGCATATGACACCGGAATTGCCAGTTATTTGAAAGAGACCACGGATTTCTTTAAAAATCTGGGCTCTATTGACCAGCTTCCAGCAAATGCCATATTTGCTACCATGGATGGCACATGCATGGGCCCCAGTGTGCCAGCATATTTATGATGACAGACCTTTGACCCACTTTCTGCACAGATGCCTTTTTATTCCCAGGTATACTTCAGGTACATTGATGACATCTTCATAATATGCACATATGGGAAGGAGTATGATATCCAATGTTAATTCAGCTGCAACTCTACTAATGCTGTATATGCCATCACCTGCTTACACATCACCTACTTACAAAGCCTGTCTCTCTACATTGGATAGACAGGGCAATATCCATATGTAAGAATGAATGAACAGCAATTTGACATCAGCTCAGAAAGACAAAAAGTCTCTCCCAAAATTATTTAATACCCTTGGACATTCCACCCCTGACCTCAGGTTTGTTGCTTTTGGGCAGAAAAAAAATAAAATAAAACCAGTTTTAACAGGGATCGGTGGAACAAGAAATCATATACAATCTGTACTGTTAAGTATGGATTAAAT